CTAATTATTATATATATTATACATGTGCCAATAACAGTACAAAACAGGTGAGAGCAAAGCTATATTGAGCTAAGAAAATTACCAGAACTGATACCATGGAATGTGTCCAGCACATAGATTCCAGGTTTTTGTGTATGATGTGCTAAGAATTCTAAAGTGTGTATCCAATGATAGAAGAAAAGTAGCTCTATTTATTGGAGATCATGAGAGGATGTGCTCAGGGAAAGTTCATGCTGCCAAAAACAAGGCATGAACAGAAAAGTGGTGCCAGGGTGGCAAAAAAGCAAAAAGCACACAACACAGATAGATCAGGCTTTCAGATTTCAAAAGATGTGCGCTCTAGCCCAAGGGCCTCTCAGTGGATCTCTGGGGTAAGATTGATAGGAGTGACTGACAGGGTGCTGAGCCAGCTTCAGGTTTTCTAATGCTCGGGACTTTTCGGGAGTTCATTCTCATTTAATTATGTGTATGAGATGTAGTCCATATTTATGAACCTTTAATAAGGCTGTCGAGGGGCAGTCACTGAAGCCAGGCCAGGCATCTAACATGTGCATGTGCTCTTACCTAAAGCTTCAGAGATTTCCTGGATCTTTGTTGTTTTATTTCTGCTTTTCTTAGAACAGAGGAAGGAGGGTTGGCTCTAGGGTGCTCCCCAAACTTGAGTCAGTAGAAGGGAGCGATTTCTCAGTCCCATTGTGCTAGAGTGAGGCATGGTGTTACACATCTGTAATCTCAGCTCTCTGGGAGACTAAGGCAGGAGGACCACAAGTTTGAGTCTAACCTAGGCAAATTAGTGACTTTGTGAGACTGTGTCTCAAAATTAAAAAAAAAAAATTTAAATGGGCTGGGGATGTAAGCTCAGTACAAAGGCTCTGGATTCAGTTTCCACTACCACAGAAGGAGGAGAAGGAAAAAGAAGAGGAAGAGGAAGAAGAGGAGAAGGAGGAGGAGGAGGAACTAGAGATGATGAAGTAATAATTAGCCTTTCATGAGTTTTTTTCAAAATTTAACAAACTAAGAATATAAAGGAAATCTTGATAAAGATTGGCTATAAACAACTCCTCATAGCTAACATCATGCTTTATGATGAAAGACTGGATATTTTCCCTCAAGGAAAAGAGGAACAAGACAAAGATATTCGTCCTTGCTACTTCTGTGCAGCATTTTATTGGAGATGCTAACTAGGACAGTTTGTCAAGAAAAAGAAAAAAAAAGGCATTCAGAATAGAAAGAATGAAGTAAAATGATCTTTATTCACAGATGATATGATCTTATATACAGAAAAGCCTAAGAAATGCATTTTAAAATGTATTGGAATAAAGAAGCTCCACAAGGTTTCAGGTTGAAGGTCAATATAAAAATGTCGTTGCATTTCTATATACTTGTAATGCACAATTCAAGAATGAAACTAAGAAAGTGGTTTTATTTATAATATCAGCAAAAAGAATAAAATATTTAGGAATAAACTGATCAAAAAATGTGCAAACATATACTCGGATAATCCTAAAATAACGGTGAAAGAAATTAAAGAAGACCCTGCCTTGGAGCCAGCCTAGTATGGACTGAAACCTTTATAAATTGAGCCAGAATAAACCTTTCTCATTGTGAAGGAAAAAAAAAAGGAAGAAGAGAGAAAGAAATTAAAGAAAACCTAAGTAAATGGAAAAGTATCTCACATTCATAAATTAAAAAACATTTATTGGGGATGTAGCTCAGTGGCACTGTGCCTGGCTAGCAAGCTCAAGGTCTGGTATCAAAAAAAAAAAAAAAGAAAAATAAAAAAATGTCTGGTATAAAAAAAAAAAAAAAAGAAAAATCAAAGAAGATGTAACACTAGCAAGATGGTAGTACTCCCTAAATGGATCTATATAGATCGAATAGTCTCTATTGAAATCCTCGCTGTCTTCTTTTTAGAAATTGATAAGTTTATGAAGTTTATATGGAATTTACAAAAGATGCAGAATAACATAAATATTTTTTAAAAATAGAACACAGGAGGAGCCATGTTTGAAATGGACAATTTCAAAACTCACTATAAAGTGATGGTAATTAAGACAATGACTGTAATCGAGGCAGCGTGATACTAAAACGAAGATAGACCTGTAGATCAACAGAACAGAACTGAGAGTTTAGAAATAAACTTATTATGTCTATTGTCAACTGATTTTTCAATAAGACTACCAAGGCTTCTCAGTGGGGAAAGAATACCCCATCGGAGGGTATTCAATCCTCCCACTACCTAGAAAAGGAGGAAGGCGAGAGCTAAAGAAAAAAACAAAGACAATAGAGACTTCCATAGTTTCAAAGTGTGGGTGGGTCAGCGCCTCCGAGCAGGCGGACAGACTCTCTGAGCTGGCCACTGTTCATTGTGTTCACGAGGAGTAACAGATGAGTCATTGGGTGGTGGTAACCTTATGCTGATGAGATCTTAGGTCGATGATGAGCTAATGTTAATCGGGATGGGGAGATGAGCAAAACAGTTTACAATAGTAGGTAGAGTGAGGGAGTTAAACCAATAAGGAATTTGTCCCTCCCCAGGTGAGGACCGTTCTCAAAGACCAGGATGTCTTCAGCTGCTGTAATCTTTCCTTTGAGCGTCATAGGATCCCGGGACCATTGAAGCCTCCAACAGCCCTAATAATAATTTTTGAAATGATTTTTTTCCTAAAATTATGTAGAATGGCTCCCAACAATACACTTTTCAATAAATGGTACCAGCCCTCAACTACAAAAAATGGATAGCCCTCATTTTAAAAAAAAAAAAAAAAAAAAAAAGGTTGTTCCTTAACTCAAGGGCTGGAGATTTAGCTCAGTGGTTCTGCTGCCTGCCTTGCAAGTGCAAGGACCCGAGTTCGATCCCCGGTACAAAAAATATTAATCCAAATTTTTTAATCAGACCTAAGTGTAAAAGCAAAAGCTATAAATCTATCCAAAGAAAACATAAAAGTAAATTTTCATGAGCTTGGATCTGGCAAAGAATTTTTACATATGGCATGAGAAGCATAAGCAACAAACTTAAAAATAGATTAGACTTAATCAAAATGAAAAACATTTGTCTCGCTAAGGACACTATCAAGAAAGTGAAGAGATAACCCACAGAATGAGAAAAAAATATTGGAAAATCATACATCTGCTAGGAACTTATATCTAGAATGTATTTTTTTAAACTCTTAGAATTCAATAGTAAAAAGACAACTCAATTTTTTTTTTAGAAAGACAAAAAATTTAAACAGACATTTCTCCAGGAAAGATACAAAAGAAGCCAACAGGCACATAAAAAGATCCTCAAATCATCTGTTACCTGGGAAATGCAAATCAAAACCATAATGAAATAGCACTTTATGCCCAATAGGATAGGTCGGATCAAAAGTGTGACAAATGGGTGGAAAGGCTGTGGAGAAAGGGGGATCCTCACACACTGTTAGTGGGCATGCAAAATGGTCCTGATCCTTTGGGAAACAGCCTCGCAGCTCCTTATATGATTACACTAGAGTTCTGTGTCTTAGTTACTATTTCGTGGCTGAGACAAAATAACTGACGCCGCAAGTTAAAGGAGGAAAAGCTTATTGTAGCTCAGTTTGTCAAGGTTTCCATTCATTGTTGGCTGGTTCCAAGGCAGGGTGGTATGGCAGAGGGGCACTGCAGAGGAGAAACAGTTCATGGCAGGCAGAAGGTGGCAAAGCAGCAAGGCAAGAGCTATCTTTCTGTCCCTTATAACCTACCCTGGCTGAGGCACCCTTAATGCTAGCATTGTACCATTAATCCCAGCACCACATCCCTACCACATATCGTAGATCTAGCCACCTCCAAAAAGCCCCACCTATGACTGCTTTGAGGCTTTGGGGGGGCATCTAGATACAAGCCATAACATTTCATTACACAGCAATTTCACTCCGAATGATACACTCAAGATAAATGAAAGCATATGTTCTCATAAAGCCTTCAGATGAAGACATCAGTTCATCAAAAGGTTATCTAAAAACTGAAAATTGCCAGACACAGTGGCACACACCTGTAAGCCCAACACTGGGGAGGCTGAGGCAGGAGGACAATCACAAGTTGCAGGCCAGCCTGGGCCACATAGTGAGTTCAAGCCCAGACTGAACTATACAGAGAGACCCTGTCTCAAAACACCAAGAAAAAGAAAGTACAAGTCAGAAATGGAAAGAAATATTCTCAATAAAAACAAAACTGTCCCAAATTAGTATATGAATATATTAAAACTCAAAACAAAAATGGGCAAAAGATATTAACAGGCATTTTACTACAGGAAAGTGATGGCTGGTAAGGGCGTGAAAGGCACCTTTGGACGCTGTTACTGTTTGTATCCGAATGGCCCCGCAGAGCCTCAGGTGCGGACAGAAGGGGCTTGGGGAGGTGCCTGGGATGGGGCAGTGTGATGTTCATGGGGGAACGAATCCACCAGTGAGTTTGCTGCTGACTTACGGTTAGGAGGTGGGCCTGGTCTGAAGAGGGTGTCACTGTGGTGTGGCCTGGGAGGGTTTACCTCTTCCCCAGGGCTCTGCTCACTCTCTCTCTCTCTCTCTGCTTTATGTCTGCTCTGCTATGAGTCAAACTCCTCTGCCATCCCTCTTGAGCGAGCTGACTGGAGAATGAAACTTCTACAAACTGCGAGCATTTCGAAACTGCTAGCAACATTACTCTTGCACTTCAAAGTCATTATTAAGTAAAATTAGGGTTACTTAAACTCAGGCACTACAAAACAAATTGGTCGAGAGGAGCACAAATGGTTGCAAAATTTTACTAAAGGTAGGAAGAGAAACTGTGGAGCAAGTTTGGGCCAAGGAAAAGGAAAGGAGGCATACTGCGAGGACAGGTCACATGAAGAGAGAGCACAGTGGCACAGACCTTAATGGCAACCGTCTGTTTTGTATCACACACTCCTCAGGCTGACATCAGGTCCGGGCCATCCTATCAAAAACCTGCTCCAGTTCTCCAGAGAAGTCCATGAGCACAGTTTTACAAGCTGTTCTGCCCATGTGTTCCAGGATTTTTCTTTCTTTCTTTCTTTCTTGGCTTTTGGCTTTTTGAGAGGAGCTCTCAATATGTAGTTCAGGCTGGCCTTGAAATCACTACACAGCCCTGATTGGCCTCAACCTTGTGGGCTATCTTCCTTGCCTCAGTTTCCCAAGTGCTGGGATTATAAATATGTGCCACCACACCAGGCTGTGGGATTTTGTAATTAACAGGTCACACCCACTTCCCCAGGCAGCTAATCTCTTGTCTCAAATGGATAGGTAAATGCATGCAGGGTGGATCCTCTGGAAAAAAGTACGATTCTCATCCTGGGTGTGACAAAGAGGGCCAGGGCAAGCTTCATGCTACTCAGAACAGTAAGAAATTTCAAACTTAGTAATAGCTTACCTCTGGAATTTGCCATTTAATATTTTCAGACCACACAACTCAGGGTAAATGAAACTATGGAAACTGAAACCACAGATAAAGAGAGAAATACATCAAAATTTTTGTAACTATTTTTATAGTGACCTATATATCCTTCTGTTTTAAAGTAATTTTCCTGAAGTGTCAAAAATGCAATGTTAATATTATTATTAATATTAATATCCACTTCGAGGGCTAAGGATGTAGCTTTGGGATAATGGTGGCCTAACTGCAAGGACCTGGGTTTGATCTCCAGTACTACCAAAAAAACACTTTCAGTGCAATTTCTAAACAAAAGCAAACCCTCTGAGCTTGTATTTCAAAGAAGTGTGTATAAACAGAGCAATTCTATTGCAATTCAAATCAAACTCAGGGCCTGTAGAGCTCACGTTCCTACAAATCTATGGAGTAGCAGCAAGCCCTAAACATCAGAAGTCGCCAAACAGATAAAGAACTTAGCAGTACCTTTTCCCCTTTAACTAGGTTTGTTGTCGCAATCAAAGGATCTACCACTTATCTCAGAGGATAAATCCAAGTGTGTCAAGACCTACCAGGCCCTGAGGTCTCTCCCTTGCTCTACCCGGGCCTGTCGAGGTTGAAAACTACGATTCCCACAAGTCCTTGCGGGGGCTGGGCGGCGGGGGCCGTTCCGCTGATTGGTTGTTCCGCAACTCCAACCAAGCGATAATTGACCCGGAGGCGTGACCCGGAGAGAATGAAAACTTCGACCCTTAGCTCAGAGTCCGGCGACTGACTTGACAGCGAGAGCTCCAGCGAACCATGGCTCTGTGGTACCTTTGCGTGCTACTGCTAAACGTGGCCACTATCTCCAGGTCTCAGGTCCTGTGGAACACGCAGCTACGGGACACATCGCGAATCCCTTCTAACTTCAGCAGACAGGAGCGCATGGCAACAATAGAGGCCCTGAAAGGTGAACCTGGGTCCCCTCTGCCCAACAGGGCCCATCCCTCGGTCCTGGTGACTGCGCAGAGGGCCTTCTACTCAGATGGAGGTGGCCACACACCCCGCCAGACCCAGTCCCGCTCCCCCCCCACCCCCGGCATCAGGCCCCCACTTGGGTTCGCCTCTCTAATCCCCAGACCTGGTTTCTGGGGCTCCCGTGTTCCCTGCCCACCTTGGAAGCCCCAACTCTGCCCCCTTGGCCTGGCCGCCGCCCACCCCAACCTCTTCTCGCCTCTGATGTTACAAGGTCTAAAGCTGCGCGTCTGCTAAATCTCTGTAATATCTTAAAATCAAACTAAGTGATCTTAGTCTTGTGTGCAGAGGAGGGGTGTTGAGGTCCATAAAGTGATCTTCCTCAGGTTGGGGAGCAGGAAGTGGGCCCTGGGTGACAACAGCAAATGTCCGGACTCACTGGGCTCCAGAAAGCTCTGGAGTGTGGAGTGTTCCTGGGATGTGAGATGCTCCTAATCCCCTTTCCTAATTGAAGTGCCTGACAAGGCTAACGTCTTCTGAATCTGTGTTTTCTGGGAGGGAAGAGGAAAGTTTCTGTTGAGTATTAAATTCTGTGGGATAATGGGATCTGTCCTGGCCACTGGGCCTAGTTCCAGTCTTTTCCCTTTCATTAAGTGGTGCCTTAAGAAAAACTGGCTATGTAAGCATGTTCAGGCAGATGCAGGGGCCAAATTAAGCCCTGTAGTTGCACATGGGTTGCACACATGCTGGAATGATTGGCTTGGAAGATGAAGAAGGGCATGTAAAACACCTGAGTTCAGATCTCAGGTCTGCTCCTGGATGGGCAGTTTAGTCTTTTGGACCTCATGTTCCCTGTCTTGGGGCGGGTACCAGGGATCGAACTCAGGTCCTTGCACTTGCAAGGCAGTTGGTGGCACCACTAAGCTAAATCCCTGGCCTTCATATTTCCCCATCTTTATGGCAAGCTATGATTTATCCTTAGCAAAATTGAATACCAAAGTCAGTTTGTCTTTCAGAGTCAAAGTGTTCCCAGTGAATATTTCTGGATCACTATCTTATCAAATATCTTCATGACTCATTGCATTTCTCTGGCAAGTGGTGTCTACATTTGGTAATTTGGTAATAGCGCCTACATTTCGGACTGTAAAGGCTTTGGGATTGGAAGGCATGAACCTAGTGACAACTCAGGAACTGAGACATCTGTGTGGGTTGAATGAGTTTACTGAACGGCTGAATAATTTGCTTGGGATCAGCTTAATCCCAGGCATCATTTTCTCCAAAAGCTGGCATGGCTAGGGTTAGTGAAACCTGAGGAAGAAGCCCACCTGCATGCACACACACCGGCACACAAGTGTCACTGAGGCAGGAGCCCAGGATGGTGGGTGGATGAAGCTTGGGATTCATCAAAGGGAGCGGTGGTTTCAGAGGCGCAGTGAGGCTTCCGGAAACAATTTATAGAAACTTCCGTCACAGGATCAAGGGCCAGAGTTCCAATCTGAGACTTTATCGTTCCTTTGAGAACTGTGTAAGTGTCAACAAATCGGAAAGACCTGGGTTTAAATCTCACTTCTGCTGCTTGTTGCTGTGTGATCTTAGGCGGCTCAAACTCTAAACTTGTTTCCTCATCTCCAAATTAGGGAAAATAGCAATGATGATTCCATAAAATTATTTTGCCTTCTGCAATAAGATAATGAATGCAAAAACAACCTTTTATGTACAGAGGACTTGGTGGGTTGGCGGGAGTATTACAGGTTGAATACCTCCTATCAGAAGGAGACCAGAAAAGTATTTCAGATTTTGCAGTATTTGAATTGATTTTACCAGTTTGAACATCGCTACTCTGAAAATCCAAAACCTGAGAGCCCCCGAAATCCAAAACCCTTTGAGTATCATGTCAACTCTCAAAAAGTTTCAGATTTCAGAGCACTTTGGATTTCAGATTTTTCAATTTGGAATGCCCGACCTGCATCGTCTTTTATCTTCTGTCTCTGACAGGTGCCATCCAGATTCCAACAGTGTCTTTTAGCCATGAGAAGTCCAATACCACGGCTCTGGCTGAGTTTGGAGAATACATTCAGAGAGGTCAGCTGCAAACTGTGAGCAAAGGGTATTAGAGATGGCAGTGGAAACACAATCCTTGTATGAGGTGATAAAGAAGTGTATTTTGTCACTGATCAGAGGACAATCTAATTCTTGAGGTTTCTTTTGAACCTAGTGGGGAGGTATGAAAGAGAGAATCTCAGTTACTGGGGGAGGCAGAGTAGTACTATAGATTTGCCCTTTGAAGGACTAAGCTACATAGCCATTGGGCTGGAGTTGAACTCCCCCAACCTTTGCCCTAAATGTGTGTCAATCATTAAATATAATTAAAGGTACAACTAAGGATTCCTTCTACCTGGGCGAATATCTGGCACTGTGCTCTATGCACTGCCCACCTCTGTCTCCACACACACACCTATATCCCATACATGCCTTCCACCTCTGGAAGCCTACTCAGATTCGTCATTTCTAAGCCTCTAGGCCCAGGATGGCAAACCTTTTAGAGATAAATGCCCAAACTGCAACTGTGGGGCACAGAGAAAGGGGACGTTCCTAGAACCTCTGCAGCAAGTCCTAGTCTCCTGGGAGCCACGAGAGCACAAGGTGACTTAATTAATAGACAGAAAATGAGATTTAGAGAAGCTGAGCTTTGGCCTGACCCATGCTGCTCTAGGTGCCAAAGACCCCCAGGCCCTGAGCTTGCCATGCCTTTATTCAGAACATCAGCAGAAACAGATGTAGCAATTGACTCGAGGGCCTGGATGATGATCCTAGAACAATGAGGAGCTATGCAGGTGAAGATTTGGTTCCTGCCAGGATGTCTGCAGCTGGTGTCCTTACAGCATCACAGCATCACAGGAACCTTGAGGTCTTAGCTGTGACTGGAGGTGAAGATAGAGCCATAGCCAGCCTGTAGACAGGAAACAGGCCTAATCATAATTTAATCATGAAGTGATTTTTCCCCAAAATCATGTAAAATTCCTCCCCACATGCATCCACTTTTTTATCACAAGGTGATAACACTGCAAGTAAACCTGAACACTGAGCTTTTAGTTTGGAAAAAACAATTCACGCATTAACATCTTTTGTCTTAAAAGAAAAACAACACCAAAGACCAAAAGAAAGCTATTAAACTTGGTTTCTCTCCCACTTTTATCCTTTGCCTCTAGTCTTTCCTACTGTGTTTCACACCAGCTTTATCAAGCACGAAGTTGTAGGAAACTACAGCCACCTATTCACTGTGCAGGGCTCAGACCCCAGCCTGCAGCCCTACCTACTGCTGGCTCACATTGACGTCGTGCCTGCCCCTGAGGAAGGCTGGGAGGTGCCCCCGTTCTCAGGGCAAGAGCGTGATGGCTTCATCTATGGTCGCGGCACACTGGACAACAAGAATTCCGTGATGGTCTGAAATGCCCTTTTTCTGCCTCGGGACCCTAAAGATAGTCCAGGATGGGTGTATTTGGCTGACTTCTGGGAGGAAGGAGGTTATGGTAGAAAGGATCTTGGCTCCAAGAGACCTGGGCTCCAGCCATCAGTTTGTTGCTTCCTTTCCTTGATTTGTCACATGTGTAGGGATTGGATCACAAAATCCCCAGGGACCCTTTCAGCGCTGACAATTAATAAATGTATGCTTTTCTCCAGGTGGAAAATATTTTATGCAACATTCTACTTCCCCACATCTGGTCCCCTGGGAGCAGTTGAATTTGTTCTCTGTAAAGAGAGTCTATCAGATCCTAGCTCCACCAGCCCTGATGGAAACAGCTGGATGTCTCTGATATCCTACTCAGATAATCCAACTCTCTCCTCTTCCATTGTTTTCCTAAACTCCAGGCGATCCTGCAGGCCTTGGAGCTCCTGCTGCTCAGAAACTACACCCCACAGAGATCTTTCTTCATTGCTCTGGGTCACGATGAAGAGGTAGAACCCCTCACACTACACCTCTTTCTGGTTCCCTTGTTGCGGGTGGGGAGCAGGTCCTTCACCACAGTCCAGGGTGCCCCCAGCTGTAAGAACTCCATGAGGTGGTGCGGCAGTTTGCCAACTTCTCTCGGTGTCCGTGAGCCAGACTAGCTAAGGACCATGATCGAAATTCAGGTTACTGGGTCCTGTGACAAAAACCTGAATTTTTCTCAAGCTCCCTGATATTGTCTGAAGCAGACAGGTATCCTGTCACCTCTCCCCTTAGAAAAAGTGGTGTGGTAGGGAACTGAATAGGGACAGCAAGGATTCCTTTCCAGTAAAGGTTGTTTTGACTCTGGGTCCCAGTTTCTTCCTCTTCCTCTTCTTCTCCATGTCCTCTTTCTCCTCTCCTCCTCCTTCTCTCTTCTTCTTCTTTATTTTCTTTTTTTCTTAGTACTGCGAATCAAACTCAGGGCCTTGTGCTTGTCAGGCAGCTGTTACACCGCTGAGCTACATCCGCAGCCCAAATTCTTCATTTGGGAAATGAGGGAGCTGGACCCTTCAGCTGTGCCATCCCAGGAAGCTGTGGGGCAGAATTGTCTTAGCCCTGCCCCTCAGGAAGGAAACTAAGAAGGAAGATTTGGGGGCCCCTACCTAAGCTGAACGCGTCTCCATCAGCTGTCTCTGGGGTCCTTTCCGGCTGAGAAGGACTGTGGCTCTGGGTTCCATGTCTGTAGATATCAGGGACAGATGGAGCTCAGAAAATCTCAGCACTGCTACAGTCCAGAGGCGTCCGGCTGGCTTTCGCTGTGGATGAGGGCAGCTTCGTCGTGGATAATTTCCTTCCCAGCCTCAAGAAGCCCATTGCCATGTGAGTACAGCGTCCCTGCCCCACCCCGTCTGAGGCGACTCCAGCCCGTGTCTGAGCCACGCTGAGGCCAGTCTGTTTCAGCCCTTTCGTTTAGTCACCCTCACCTGCCGCTTCCCTTCTTCCTCTAGTGTAGATTATTTTAAAACAGCATGAAGCCGACCCCTAGGCCACCCGAGCACCACTCAGATGGGCGTGTGGGTCTGTGGGATAATTCAGGGTGGAGAGAGATCAGGAGGGCCATCTCTGATCCCCTTCGACAGAATTGCTGTCTCTGAGAAGGGCGCAATGGACCTCATGCTGCGAGTAAACATGACTCCAGGCCACTCCTCAGCGCCTCCGAAGGAGACAACCATCAGCATCCTATCAGCTGCCATCAACCAGTAAGCAGCTCTGGTGCCAGGCTCGGGATGGGAGGCCTGACGCTTCCCCTTTGGGATTGAGGGAGTGACGCTCGCTGCCCTAAACCTGGCCAGAAGCCATGGTGAAAGCCCAGGGAGGGACAGAACTATCTGTACCAGGAGAGGGCTGGGCCAGAAGAGGGAGTATCGGTGCATCCGTACAGCACACAGGGCCAGAGACCAAAGCCAGGTCAGGTAGATGAGTAGCCCCGAGTCCAGCTAAACAGTTACAAATCACAAGTTGTCATCCACTGATTTCTTCCCTTGCCCTGGCAGTCAGACAAAGATATACCAGGGCTGTTGTCATAGGACGAGAACAGCATGGTAGTAGCAGTGCTCACCTGAGGCCTGGTTTTCTTAGCAAGGTGGAAGGAGCACTGTATCCCTTCAAATGCCGAATAACCAGCTGCCACGGTCAAGACAGCGAGCCGAGGGGCAGCCATGGGAGGAACGAAGCAGCCCCAGTGGTCAGGGTGCTCAGAGCGGGTGGAGGGGACTGACAGCTCGGCTGCAGCACTGAAGGTGTTTGGTGTCCGATGTCAGAGAGGAGAGGAGAGAGGGCAGGAGCGGGAGGGACCCTAACTGGGACCTGATGGACAGGGACAGGGGACGATCGTCCAGCTGCTGCTGCGAGAGCTTGCTGGTTGAGTTGCTGGAGGGGCTGCACAGGTCAGGCTGTCGAAGCCCGCAAGTCTTGAGAACTCTGTTTCCTTTCCAGACTGCAGCAGAACCCAATGCCAAACATGTTTGGAAGAGGGCAGGTGAAGACGATGTTGCAGCAGCTGGCAGGCGAGGTGTGGGGAGGAGCAGCACACGCTCCCAGAGGGGGGCGGAGAAGCGGGTCAGAGAGCTCCCCCAAGCCCTGCGTGGTCTCACCTCTCACAGCCAGTGGCTCGGCCCTGCCGAAGGAACTGGGCTTGCTCCTCAGGGCTGCTGGTGCTCAGCTCAGACCCTGAGGCCTAACGTAGCCAGGCGCCCTTCGAGAGCTGCCTCGCAGTCCTCTTTGAGGCTGCTGGACAATTCAGAAGAGCCCAGCCAGGGGAAACTGCCTCGTCCTCTAGCAAGGGTGGAGCCAGCCGAACTCAGTGAGGACGCCAAGGCCTCGGGAGGGAGGATGCCTGGCACTGTCCCTGCTGATCCTGCTAACCTTCTTTCCCTTTCAGTTTTCCTCCCCTATCAATATAGTCCTGAGAAACCTGTGGCTGTTTCAGCCCTTCGTGAGCAGGTAGGGTATTAATCCCTTCCTCAACATCCCCTGCCCCAAGCCTGCCCACCCCGCAGTCTCCTTTCCCTGGCCTGCCTGGGGCTGCGGAATCTTCCCTCACCCTACACAGACACCACACCTGATCCACGTATAGGATGCTTCAGAAAAGTGGGTGAACTTCCAGCCCTTTCTTCCTCCCAATTGGACAGGTCTTCCTCATGTCTGACTTTAGTCCTTTCCTTTTAGGTTCTTGGAGAAAAATCCCATAACCAACGCAATGATCAGAACCACTGTGGCACCCACAGTGTTTCAAGCAGGGATCAAGGTGAGGTTGCCTGGTTCTGCCTGCTCCCCTCCGCATCCCCTCCGTCCTGTGGCTGTGTCGTCCTTCTCCGGCCACAGGATGAAAAATATTAAGAGACGGTGCTGTGTCGTATGTTGGGTGGGCGCCCAGAGCAGGGAACTAGCCGAGAGCTGCCATCTCTCTGAAGCTATCGGCCACATACTATATGTGCGTATTTTAGTGACATACACGACCCTCTCAAATTCCCTGAGTCTGAGCTTCCCCAAAAGCAACCATTGTACTGGTGTGAAAAGGGTCACATGGGAGTTGGCTCTTGTGGCCTCCGCTCAGGCTGTAGCTCAATGTTTTATATTTACCTGACACTTTGGCCTTGCAGACTAACGGTTTCTGACTCTTCTACCACCAAGAGTCTTTTTAAAGATCCTCGTGTTTTAAAAGATGTATCCGCTTCACTAGCTAGTGAGTAATTAATGTGTTTTACCCAGTACTAATCCTAAAGTGTAAATTGGCCTGGCATGGTGGTGCGTACTTGTGATCCCAGCACTTGGGAGGCTGAGGCAGAAGGAATCTCTCCAGTTTGAGGCCAACCTGGGCTACACAGTGAATTCAAGGCTACCCTGAACTATATAGTATAAACCTGTCTCAAAAAGCTGAAAGCGGGGAGGGGAGAAAAGAAAAGGAAGGGAAAAGAAAGGAAAGAAAGTTGGATGGAAGGGAACCCACTTGCCATTTATAAATTTAAAGAAAAAATATATATATATCTCACTTGAAAGTCACTCATTATTATTCCCCAAATCTACTAAATATCAGGTGGGCTTAACAAATTTAATTTCTGTATGAGGTTTACTTTTCTAGAAATAAATTTCAGGTAAATCAATACTTTGATAAATTTTTGTTCTAAGAATTACTTTTCAGTGAATTAGTCTGCTTTGTGGATTGGCCATAATGGGGCCTCTCTGTAAAGCACCAAGCCTAGCCTCTCTGCAGTCCTGCAGGGAATTAGATCAGTCATGTAACTAGCAGTGCCTTCACCACAGTTTGAGAGGGCACCGTTCCCCTACAGCCCAGTGTGACCTGTAGAGCTAGTCATGGTAGTACACACCTGTAATCCTAGCTACTTGGGAGGCTGAGGCAGGAGCATCACTTCAAGTTTGAGAACAACATGGGCTAAGTGGTAGTGAGTTCAAAGCCAGCCTGGACTACATAGTGGGACGATGTTTCAAAAACTAAACATACAGATACAAAAGGGCTGACTGTGGCTCCATGGTAGAAGCCAAGGTTCAATCCCTAACGCTGCAAAAGAACAGTGTGGCTCGGAGGTGGCCCAGCAGCCTGGAGCCTGCGCTGGTGTAAGTGAATAATTAATGCCTCCAGATTAGTCCCGGCAGAAGTAACTGTGTGCAGGTGGTGTGACTGAGCTGCACCCCCAGCACACGTCACGTGTTAACATCATTTGATCCTCCTAACACCCCATGATTGTCATTGCCAGCTTGCCAGTGAGGAAACAGGCACAGAGGTTGCAGTTACTCAGGGTCCCACAGTCAGCTTGTGACAGCCCAGTTCTCCAGTCCCTGGTCCAGTGCTTTGTGTACCAATTCAAAGAAAGCCATGCATCTGGGAAGGCTGTTCACTCCCACCCACCAAGGAAAGATCTCTCCATAGCCCGACTGTATTCTGCAGTTGGTCCTGAGTTCTTCCTGGTCAGATAAAGAGTCAGATTCTGAGAGCCGGGGGATGTAGCCCACACCTGCCTGGTAAGTGCAAGGTCCTGAGTTCAATCCCCAGTCCAAAAAAAAAAAAAGAAGAAGAAGAAGAAGAAGAAGAGTAGTCATATTTTGCAAGTGAACCTGAGAATCCACACCACCACCATGGTCCTCTTGGGGATAAAGCGTGCTGTGCGGGGCCCAGGAAGCTCTGCGTGCCCTTGCGTGCAGGGGTTAGCACTAAGGTTAACAGAAATGTGCAAGCTGTCCTGAGAAAGTGCACACAGAAGGCTCCCAGGCTACAGTGCAGGGCTGGGCACAGATGCCTGTGCTGTCTCCAAGAAAGCTGTTCTCTCTGAGCAACTCTGACCACCTCCAGGACCAAGACGCATGAGGACCTAGTGGAACACAGCAGCCCAGCCCCGAATGTAGCATATGCCCGGGGCCCAGCGAAGACTAGAACAGATTAACAGTAGTAATCCCTGGCCCCTGTGCTCCTGCTGCCTCTGGTAACTGGCATTTCCCGGGCAGTGACCCACTGTGGGAGACTTGAGGTTGGCTCCAGCTAAGCGTCCTGGCTTTCTCCCTAGGTGAACGTCATCCCCCCGGTAGCCCAGGCCATAATCAACTTCCGGATTCACCCTGCACAGACAGTGCATGAGGTACGTCCCCTATATTCCAGAAAATGGGTTCAACCTGAGAGATCGGGGCCCTAAGGATCTGAGTTTAACTACACTCCTAGGGCTGGACCAGTTTCCACTGTCTGATATGTAGTTTTCAAAAGCACTCTATGGCTACATGGTTAGGATAAGATGTCTGGTTTGGAGAAATTTGTGTCTGGGGTGGGAAGTGATATCAATGGTAGGAAACACAGAGCACCTGCTGTATGTTTGGCACCAAGACTAGATGCACACACGTTCATTCACACACACTCACAGCCTTGGCAGCCTCCCTGTGTGGTAGGCACTGCATTGCACTCTCTCTCTCTCTCTCTCTCTCTCTCTCTCTCTCTCAGCCGGTAATAATGGAGGCATAGAGCAACAGCGCAGTTAAACAGAATACTCCACAATTGTGCACCCAGCACGCTAGCTTCTGAGTCTGCTCTACACGACAGTTGTAACAACCAGGGATGGGCAAATCGCCATACAACCCCTGCAGACACAGATGACGCTACCTTGAAGGACCCAAAACAATCTTTTCTGACCCCTAGAAATGTGAGTTGGGTGTTAAAGGATCATCAAGATTTAGTAGAAATAATACATCCACGTGGCTAAATAAGAGAAATCGGGGAGAAGTAATGGGAGATAGAGTTGTAGCTTGGGGATCAAGGTCTAGGATGCCACCCTGAGGACAGGAAAGAACTCTCAGAGCTCTTCCAGCAGTGCCAGGATAGGCTCAGATTTACTGTTAGATGACGTTGTTGGCACAGAAAAGGAAGTGCTGGGGTAGGAGGAGACCAGAAGCTATTGCAGCAGTTCAGGCAGTGCATTGGAAGACGGAACTGAGGCCGTGGTCGTGGGTGAAGACTGAGAACTCACTTGCACCAGCACCGGGTGCTGTACAGATGTGAAGCAAGGGGAAGGCAGGGCGGCTCTCAAATTTCAACCCAAATGCAGTAGTTGGCCAAGAACCAGTGCCTATAACCAAGACTTAGAATTTGGGAAGAAGAGCCAGTTCAAGAAGAAATACAATGGCTTAGCAGTTTGAGAAGTGTATCATATAACTAATAGGCGATTTAAAATACCTCCAATCTGGAGACACGAAGTAGAGGTACAAGGTGGAGTGTTAGTAACATAATTGGAACCTGCAGAGTCAACAGTGGGTGCTATGATGGAAAGGAGCCTGGCACTTTAAGAAAATATAAGAAGGAATGAGACCTCTTCTGGGGCCAGGCAAGGCTTCCCATGAGGCTGGGACATATGAGCTGAAAGCTCAGGGTGAGCAGAAGTTACACTGAATGCTTAATATCTAGAGGAAATGCCAGTTTATTCTAATATCAAGTTGAGCTAGAAAAGAATTCAAAAGGTTAACCTGACTCTTCAAAATTTAACCAAATAACAACCCGGTAACTATGAGACAAATCAAATATTCCGGAATACACAGGCTTAGAGGCAGGTCTCTCGCACGGATCATGGAGGGTCAGCTAAACTTAGACTTCTGGGGCCTTTCTCCTAAGTTCTTCCCGTGAAGGATTTCATCTGGGAGGCACCCTCCTCACTGTGGATAGGAAGTAGATTTATAGCCGGCCTAGAGCCACCCAGCGTTAGGGTAAGGGAGGAATTAGAACCAGCATGGAGTACGAGGCTGTGCTTTTCATCAAATGCCAACCTTTGTCTTCCCCCTGGGGAATCATGAGGCCAGGAAATCACTGAATTCTCCCATTGAGCTTCTTTCCACTGGTTTTTTTCCAGCCTCATTCCAATTCCATGCCCTTCCCAAGGGCTGTTTTCCACTCAGCCAGGGCTTTCGTTCCCCCGTCCTGCACTCTTCCCCTCCATCCTGCCCACCTGCACCGGTGAGGAATGAAAAGCTTCCATCAGTCAGAATGCCCACGGGGCCCACTGGTCCTGGTCACCCCCCGTCCAAGTACCCTGTCCCATTTTCCAAGGACCTGGCCTAAGGGTTACATGCACAGAGTCTCATGATGGACTGGGAAGGAGAAAGACAGGCAGCCCCCAGAGTCCTCTCTTCTTCATCTGGTCTCTCCCATGTCCCAGATGTAGGGAGACTCCAGCACCTACCTCTGGGAAACAAGACTCTTCAGAAGTCTAACAGGCCACCATGTGGAAAGGAAGGTTCCTTCTGGATGGGCCTTGAGGCGTAGAGATGGCCAGTGGGCAAGGTTTCAGGGAGCCTCCACTTGAGGGAGCAATCTGGAACGTGCCATTTTGGGCAGAAATGCAGCTCTCGCCTCTCACAGGGCTCGGTCAGTGTCATGGACAGGTCTTTCCTTCATTCAGTCAGTCACTGAGAGTCTGCTGAGGCTGCTCACTGCGGACCACACATTCTTCGGAGCACTTGGCATAGCAGTGAACATGAGAAACACCATTTCCATTCTAATGGCAATTATGCGTTAGTGGGAAGAGACAGCAGTAAGCAAGTGACCAGATAAAAGAACAAGGGGGTTTTTAAAAGTTAATTTTATTGGTACATTTAATGTATACAATATAAAGACATTCATTGTTGCAAATTTGTACCTTTACATATTCAACCTTGGTTCTTATTTTTCCCCATTCCCCTGCCCTCCCTTCAACCCGTCCTTCTATCCCTATCTACAAAGACTTTGTTTCCGTTAGTTTTCATTTTCTCATATTAATTCCATTTCCTTCTTTTATTTCCCCTTCCTTTTTGTCCCTTTTCTTCCTATTTCACATTATCTATTTTACCTCTTATTCCTTATTTACACTTTCAGTTTCTCACACTAGAGAAACTACTTGGTATTTACACATGTGTGTCCTGTTTATATTGCTTAAGCATATGGCCTCCATGTGCATCTGTTTAGCTATAAATGTCTAATTTCACACTTTTTATGGCTGAGTAGTATTCCATTTTATTAAAAGCCGCATTTTCTTTATCCAGTCTCCCATTGATGGGCATTCAGACTGCTTCCAAGTTTTGACCCAGCTATTCCCCTGCTGGGTATCTTCCCTAAAGAATTAAAAGAATCATACCACAGTGATATTTGCTCACCCGTGTTCATAGCAGAACAAGGGGGTTTTTAAGTGGGAAGTGCCATGAAGAAAATAATGGACACCGTGTCCAGAGTGATCACTGGGGCGAGGTGGGGAAGTGACCGGAGCAGGTGGAGTGCGGTGGAGGCCACACCCTCTCTCCGGAGGATAACAGTAGCGTCTACTTCCCGGACAGCTCTCACTATTACTGGAGTCAGTTATATGAGGGCCTGGCACGTAGCAAACACTCGGTAAACTCTAGCTGATGTTTGTTTAGAATAGAGGATACTTCCCTGAGCAATAAGCAGAAATGCAAGGCTGGGAGTAGGAGGAGGATTCACCAATAATGAGGGAGACCTCAGAGTTTAGAGCACACTGACCGTTCACTTCTCTATTCACAGTCCCTCTACAACATTCTGGCAATGTTATGCTGTCCCACAACTATTTTATACATAGCGATACTCCTCTCGTGTGAATGGCAGATTTGTTGAAAGTAAAGATAATAGAAACGTAAAAATGGATCGGGGCTTTAGAGTTGGCAATCCAGATTCCACCCTTCTCACGGGAAGAGAACGACAGGCAGTTATTTAAAATGTGCCATCCCATGTTTCAGCAGCTTGGTTACGAGTGTCTTCCTCGTACTGAGCTGAGACATGGCTTTGTACAGTAACGCCCAACACCCCTCCTGACTCTGTCCATGCACGTATACTGCGTTCCGCAGGAGCTGGCGTGGTGCCAGACACACACGGACACCCAGCAGGCCCTCACCACATGCTAACAGAGGCGCAGGCGGAGGCGCAGAGAGCTCCGGGGCTTGCTGAGGTCACACAGCTCTGACTGATGGGCCGTCACACCCCTCCCCATTCCCAGAATGTCAGCTGCCTCTTTGCCATCCGTTTCTCATGGCCTTCCTTCAAACCAGGGCTCAGAACTCATCCCACAAAGGCCTGCTTCTCCCTTGGAGCCCAGGAAGGACCCTTCCCCTCCCTGGATGACCCTGGCAAGTTAGTACTGACAGCTCCTGTCATCACCTGTTTCCACCTTCTGTGTCTAAGTATACGTCCTCTGTTGCAGGACTTGCAAGTGCCTGAACATGGAAGTGGCCTTGAGCCAGTAGGGAACTGGCCTCTTACTGAAGGGGTACAGTCTGCCTACCTTCTTTGATTTCTGGAAACAGGAACTTCTAACTGATTCAGGGAAGAGGACAGTGTGTACAGTCCAACCCAACCTCACAGGAGATAACTTCGGGAACCTTTCAGTGGGTGAGGAATGTATCGAGACCGTGCATTAGTCAGGCATGGAGGCTGAGGTAGGAGCATCACAAGTTCAAGGCCAGACTGGGCAACTTCAGAAGACCCTGTCTCAGTATAAATTTAGGAGGGGTCACTCAGTGATAGAGTGCTCGACTAGCTGGCGTGTTCAAGAGCTGGCATGTTCAATCTCTGGCACTGCAAAAGGAAAAGGGAAGACTACATTAATTCTTATGTTAGAATAGAATGTTCGGGCCATTAGTGCTAGAACGAAACTGATCTCTAAGTGAAAATAAGCTCTGTGGGCCCCTCACCCACCCAACAGCAGGGAACGGCTTTGACTCAAGTGAAAATTTCTAAGCCAGAAGTGGAAACCCTCACTTCTACTCCAGACTCAGCTCCTAGCAGGCTAAAAGAGGGTGTTCTTGAGGTGCTGCCCCCATTCTGAGGATCCCCAACAACAGGAATCCCCCTTTAAAATGATTGGTTATTGCAGAGAACATTTTCAAGCAACTCCCAGTCATGGGTTCAGGCCAGACCTGGGCCTCCTTTGGGTGGCTGAGTGGGTTTGAGTCCATTCCCACAGGTGACTTACTGCTCAGGGTCTCATCTGAACTCCCTGGCCTCAGGGATTTTGCCAGATTCCCCTCTATAGTCCTTTCAGGCTGAATTTTCTAGTAGTTTCCTCAGGTTCCTTCCTGAGGAAAGGAGGCAAAAAAGAGAGAAAACTTGAATACCAGTATCTCAACTCCTGACATTTTGTCTGTTCTGAGCTCATCTTCCTGCCTCCATCAGAGTTGGTTGCAGACAGGAAGCAGGCATGCCCAGAGAGGGAGAAGAGGGAATGGCCCTTCTGTCTCCTGTCCAAGTCTCTCTGGTTAAAGCAGGATCATCCCATTGCCACGAGATGATTGAGATCCCAGGTCTATTGAGATCCCAGGTCTATCATCTCTTTTACGCCTTCAGCCAGCACCTGACCCTCAGCCCCAGAAGAAAGACATAATTTTCCGCTTGTCCAGTCCCCCACACACACTCGTGGCTGTAAGACAAGCTCCCCGCACACTTAGCCTAGATCTGCCGTGCTGTAGATGGCTTCCAGGAAGGCTCAGCTCTTACAGCACCCAGGTCAGCTGAAACTGAGGTCCTTTCTGTAAGTCCCCGGGCTGTGCCATGCTGGAGAGAGATGAGGACCACTTCTTTTCATATATATATATATATATATATATTTTAGATATTTACAATGGTCACATTCATCATATGGAATTTGTACCTGTACATGGTATATCTTGTTTCTTCTTTTTTTCCCATTCCCCTCCCCTCTCTTCAACCCTTCTTCCCCTCCTTATTTACAAAAGCTTTGTTTCCATTTTTTCCTTCTATTCTTTTTTTCCCCTTTTATCTTTCTTCCTTTCCCCCTCCTCCCTCCCTTGTTCCCCCTCCTGTCTGAACATTTTCTTCCCATTTCCTACTGTGTATTATACATTTCGGTCCTTATTTACCCTTTCTGTTTCTCACACCAGAGAAACAAGGCAATATTTAAACGTTAAGTCCAATTTATTTCACTTGAGAGTATGGTTTCAAGGTGCGGCCATTTACCTGGAAATGTCTCCAGCTTCTCTCTCTTTAGGGACCACTTAAGTTCATGTGGCAGTTGGATACCAGCTTGATATGAAATCTAACCCCCTATGTTTCCACCCTGGAGGTCCTAGAACTCACGAAGAACATTGTGGCTGATGACCGAGTGCAGTTCCATGTGCTGAGGGCCTTTGACCCTTCTCCCGTCAGTCCCACTGATGACCAGGCCTTGGGCTACCAGCTGCTCCGCCACACCATCCACGCTGTCTTCCCGGAAGTCAGTGTTGTTGCCCCTGGTAATGACTTCATCGGCTGTGGTTAGAGGGAGTAGGGCTGCAACCTTTTCCTATCCAGTGTCCACTGCCCCACACCCACCTCAGCTGTTCATCCTGGAAACAGCTGGCTGCTTCCCCTGCTGATGGGACTAGAACTGTACTTTCCCCCCAGGGTAGAAGTGAGAAGACAAACAGGAAAGAAACAGAAACAATAAATTAAGTCAGTCAAACCTAGGTCCTTGCTTAAGGTTGGTCAACAAGGCCTAGAGAGGAGGATTGGCTTGGAATCCCTTCTCCTCTGGAGGAGCCACAGAGGGAGCCAAGCTCCTCCACGTCCAGGTTCTGGTTCTGATTCTTTCTAGGATGACAGCTCAGCAGCAGGGCTCAGAAGCATCAGAAGAATGTCCCGGCCCATAACGTTCACATTACCCCATTGCCTCGCTAGCCCAGTCCAATTCCAGCAGCTCCTCTCTGGGCCTCCACTCCAGTCTTTATCGTACCATCCAAATCTACCCATGATGTGGTTGTCCAACCAAGAGTGGACAAGGATTGCCTAGGGAGCTTCTTAAAATGCAGACCACCTGGAAGGATTCAAGTTAGCCACATCTGGATGGGACCTGGGATTTACCTTTGACAGATCTCCACAGGGGACTCTCGCACAAGTGATGGTTGACCATGGTTTGAGAAGCTCTGGTCCGTGGAATAGGGAAGAGTTGTTCTAATGTAAAGGCCTATGTCCTTCCATCCGAATTTAATCATGGGCTTCTCCAAATATCCAGGAGCCCTGGCCCTCACAGTCCCAGACCCTCTTCTCCTGGCCATCAAAGACCAACCGTCCTTTCTTTGCTGCCTTCTGGGGCACTTGCTATAATCCTTGTCAGTAGGGCTGGGCTGTGACAGGGAAAAAAGACAGGCAGAAGTCAACTGGCAGAAATTCAAAGCACAGAATTGTGAAGGGCCTAGATACTCATTTGAAACCAGCAGAGAAAAATAAACCAAAACACAAATTACTGCCTCAGATCATTCTGTGGTACTGGTCTTGCTGCTCTGTGTTATCTTTCCCAAAGAATACACCTATCAGGGACAAAGCCCAGGACCACCTGGCTGACTTACTCTACCTCAGGGAGAGTTGGAGACTGGAAAGAGAGGATATTAGGACTTTCCAGACCTGTGGCTTGAGTCTAAAATGGAGTCACCTCTCAGAAGATGAGAATAAGAGGAAGTCGTGTTCCGCTTGGAGAGACCCCTAGGCAGTGTTTATTTCTGACCAAAGGAGACAGTACATCAAGTTGTATCTAGACTTCTGGTTTCTAACATAGCAAGTGGCCTTGGTGATGGTGATAAAATGAAGGCATTGTCCTCCTTGGTCATCATGAAGAGAGGATATTTAGGTTTGGATCATTCCAGGAATACCTCACCATTGCCCTAGGCAGATTTTATGTTCCTATCTGAAATTATGCTTTTGTAAGATTATAAGAAAGAGTAGCTCAACGGTCCAAACTGGCATAGCCATAGGCTCCGAAGAAGGCCCAGGGGGCCCCATAATGACCCAGGCATCCTAGTCATCCAGCCTCCCACCTCCTGACACTTCCTTGGCTGGGTTGCTCCTAAAAAGCCCTTTCCTCTTCATCTTCTCTCCCTAGGAACTTGTATTGGCAACACGGACAGCCGACACTACCTCAACCTCACCAGGGGCATCTATTTGTTCAATCCCGTCTTGCTGAAGCCTGCAGACTTCAGGTGAGTGCACCAGAAGGAGTCAGGAGACACGCGTGACCTGTGCCTTCCCATCCCAACAGTCCACAGGGGTTGGCAGAAAGCCAACTGCCCTCGTGGCCAGAGGCTGGTCACTCCCCAGAGTTTATGAAAGTGGCCCATCTTTTCAAGGAGGGACATAATGAAGTGACTGGTAAAAGCCTGGTGGAATAAGGACCTCTGGTGCTCTCCTGCCTATGGGAGAGTGCTTACCCCCAACCTCATTTTCTCTATACAAATAAGACCCCTCAGCGCTCTCTGAAGTGCACACACACTGAGGTCGGAAGTGGGCATGGGCTTTGACTTCTCTGAAGAAACACTACAGACGCGAGCACCAATTTTGGCCACTGTGTGTGGTTTACTATCTCGTGGGATTGTTGGCGAATTTGAATCCCGGGAATGGGAAGATAATTTCCATTATCCTCTCTACTGTTTTTCACATCCAGACCTGATTTCCCCATGATAGGTCAGTTGTACAAAAGAAAGAAAATATTTGCATATGAGCTTAAGGACAACTTTAATGTTTTGTTCTTATTTTTCAAATTGGACAGAGGCAAGTAGCTCTTCTATTTCTTATTGTCTCTGACGTTACAAGTGTAGTTTGATTGTCTTGTTTGATCCATTGTGTTTTGGAAAGGCAGGTTGGTGGGCATGAGATCAGCAGCAAGGCCCTAGGTTAAGGAGAGGACAGTGCAGGGCCCCAGGAAGTTGCCCCCCTACCCTCTCTTACCCCTGGGAAGCTAAGAGGTGGGCAACTGGCATGGAGAAAAGTCTAGCTGTGGCCTCTGTCCTAAGATGGAGAGAATTAGGAAATAGTTCTCCCACAGGGGGTTACGAGGGGCTTCAGAGCAGATTTCGGACCCCACGGGAATGTGTTCATCACCTTCCTCACTGTTCTTTGCCATGAGCACAGAGCCTTGAAAGACGAACATGTCACACAAAGTCTCGAAAGTGGCTTCTCCCAGTTTGCCCTCCTCCCACCCTGGAGGACCACAGGCCAGGAGGCTGGGAGAGGGTAAGGAGTGTGCTCTGGAACGGCACCCATGCTGTAGCTCTTGGCCCTCCTCCGCTCCCGCTCATGCTCTCTTTACCTCAGAATTCATGGAGTTAACGAGAGGATCTCAGTCCAAGCCTACGAGACCCAGGTGAAATTCATCTTTGAGTTCATCCAGAACGCTGACATGGAATTGGTGGGGATGCCAGACTCTCCTCACCAGCATGATCTGTGAGGTCAAGGAGGAAGCTGGGTGAGGGGTGCCCCCGCCCCAGGGAAAAGCCAATGCTAATAGAGATTTTGGCCAAAACCACATTTTGATGTATTACTGGTCTGCCTAGATTATTCCTGAGCTCATCTGGAAGCAAGGCCTGGTGGGAGGGAAGACGGCAGAACTCGGGCTTCTCCCCGCCCTTCCTCCCGCTGCCCTCTGCATCCTCCAGCTGACTGGCACTCACTGCCTTCTTGCTCCTCCTCTTAGGAAGACGTCATCTGTCTTACGCTAATTATTTAACTGCGCCACCCTTTGATACTGACAACAGATGCTGTGTTTAAAAATCTCAGCCAGGTTTTCGCTGATAAAAGTGTTAATTTAGGGGGCTTTAGTGCCCTTTTCAAGGCTTATATATTGCTTCTTGCTAGAACTTTCCCCGTTTCTCTGTCTCTCTCTCCTCTCTCCAGGCCTTCACTGAACTGCATCCTCAGCCATTTTAACTTCTTATTTTGAGAGAGGGTCTCACTAAGTTGCCCAGTTGGGACTTGAACTTGTAGCCCTTCAGCCTCAGCCTCTCTCCATGCTGGGAATCACAGGTGTACCTGGCTTATCCTCTCTTCTGGAACTCACAAACTGTGTCTTTTTCTCTTCTCACCTGCCCCTGCCTCCCTCTCCTGACTCCAACAATTATTCTACACCTGAAGCAGGATTTACTGAGATGAAGCTAGTGTGATTGCCACCACCGTTGGTCCCTAAAGGGATCTAAGCAGCACCAGCTGGTGAGGTCGAGAGGTGAGATTGAGCAGGGGCCTTGGGAAACCCCGGACCTCCTCACTCTGAAGGCTGGGGCGTAGAGAAGAAAGCCTCTGCCCTTGGGCTCCTCCCAAGGGCTGCCTGGGCTTTGCTCCCTCCCCTGCCCTGTTCCTGCCACCTGCTGCTGCTGCTGTCCCACCCCAGGAGGCACTGATCTGTGGGAACATTTCCTGGCACATCCTATGGGCTGAGCTCCCGAGAAAAGGGAACTCATGACAGGTCTCTGAGTGGAGCCCAGGACCAGTGGAGCCCTGGCCCTGGCATCGTGTCCTGGTTCAGGCCAATCAAGGGGAAGTGGAGGGCACAAGGCAGGAGGGGAAGGGGACACTGGCCTGGGGGGCTGTGCCCTAGGCTCCTGGGACACGGAGAAATGCAAGCAGCCTCCATCAGGGGCTAGCAGAGCCCTGATCTTTTTGCTCTGGACTCGGGGCCGAGTATGCTCGACTGCGCAGTCGCTGCCAGGTGGGGGCGTTGGAAGGCAGCGTTGCTTTGGCTCAAGGCCAGGAGTTGTGCTTTGTGGATTACAAGGGAGTCAGGGTCACAGAGGGAACGGGGACTGAGAGGCTCCCCTCCTTTCTCCTCACTGGGAAAGGCCGTTGGGTGCCCTCCTGGGGTCTGAGAGCAGTGGGCTCTTTTGCCCTCTCCTCCTCAAGCCCTGTGCCCTTGCTCTGCCCATGCCTTGCCTCCCGCCCGTGGATGTGAGCTGTTTCTTGGAGCTCTGGCTCCACTGTCACTGTTAGAAACAGTGCGGGGATTATTCGGGCTTTTTTGCTGCTCCTCCTAAGATTCACATTCCTCCCTTCGCCCTCCCTTTTTTTTTGGCCAATGCACTACTTATTCAGCCTTTGTCCAAGGCGAGCTGGAGCACAGAAATAATCCTGCCATACAAGCAGTTTCATACAGCTTATCTCAGCAGAGCCCCCAGAAGGAACTGCTACCCTTGGGGTGGTCACGCATCCTGCTGGGGGCACTGGGCCCGAACTGTGTCACCTGGCCCCAAACTCACAGTTGTTCCGAGTCTAACTTCCCATGAAATCTACCACCCATCGATTGTCCTAGTTAATCCTCACAACAACTGCTGTGGTTTGTGTCCCCCAGGATTCTCGTGTGGGAAACTTCATCCCCAGGGCTATGGGCGAATGGTGTTAAGAGGGTGGGAACTGAATCGGAGCATGATCTGCAGGGGTGAGGCCTCTGGAAGAGGTCAGCGTTAGCCAAGGCCATAGGGCACAGCCCATGACTGCCACTCTTTATGAGTAGGGTTCAAGGAGACGTGCTTTGGGTTGTTGGTTTTGTGTTTTAGCTTGTTTTACTCACACACACACACACACACATATTTAAGTTTGTTTTTCAGAGATGTGCATCGCCATTCCTGGCTTGAAGCACATTTAACTTGATTGAAACATTATATAATGTGTGTACCTGGCATGGTCAAAAAATACGCTGCATGTTTAAATTTTTAAAAAAATTATTACAGTAAAATTAATACTGCACCAAATCCTCCTCCTTGCTTTGAACACAATCATCCATCCCATTGCTCTTGCCACTTTCTGAAGCGGCTCTGCAGGTCCTCTTTCCTGAGTGTCTTTAGTTTTGCTGTTGTGGCTGCTTCGATGTCCTGAAGTGATTTGAAATGTTCGTTTTTCCTGGTCATTTCGACTTTGGGGCGGAGCCAGAAGCCACACAGCAGCCAGGTGTGGTGTGCACACCTGTAATCCTAGCACTCTGGAGGCTGAGGCAGAAGGATCACCATGAGTTCAAGGCCAGCCTGGACTCCGCAGTGAGTTTAAGACCAGTCTGATTTATATAGCAAGACCCTGTCTCAAAAAACTAAGGAAAAAAAAGTCACACAGGGCCAGACATGGTGAATCAGGTGGATGAAGGCATGCTGCATATTTTTACAAACCTGCCTTTCTGTTGGGTGGCACTCAGCAGCAGCGTTCACCGAATTCTTGATCGTGCCCCACAAAAGGACTTCCAGAACTTCTTCAGAAAGTGGCAAGGATGATGGTTAAATGTGATTAAAGTGTAATACATTTTTAAGTGTAAACACCATTTTTATGGGCCCTTATATATAGCAAATTATAATGTGCTGTCCCATTTAAAAACATAGAAAGAGGGGGCTGGGGATTTAGTTCAGTGGTTCCACCACCTGCCTCACAAGCACAAGGTCCTGAGTTCGATGTCCAGTACCAAAATTAATAATAATAATAAATACCAACAGCATACTTCAAAAAACTAGAAAACAATTACAAAATTTTATGCAACCAGAAGAGACCCAGAAGAACAACAACAAGAGTAAAGGAGAACACATGTTAATCCCACATATGTAGTTTATAATATCAAGCTAAAAAATGATATAATAATAATAATAATAATAATAATAATAATAATTTTTAAATAAAATAAAAAGAGAAAGAGACCAGAAGACACATAGGTGTGCAAGCTCCACCTTGTGACTGCCAGCCAGAAGGCTTCACCAGGGGCCAAGCCTACCCTCCCTCTCCCCCCTTGCTCTTGAACTTTGAACCCCCAAACCATGAACCAAAATAAACTTCCTTTCTCTATAACTCACTAAGTCTGTGGCACCTGTGTTCTAGGAGACAGAAAACAAATAAGTACTATAACTCCGAGGTGTTATTGCCTGTTTCCTGGATGAGGCAACTGAAAGTCCAATGTTAAGTGACTCCAAGGTTGTCCAAGGTTATGCAGCTATTAGGGGCAGAATCTATGTGAATCCAACACTTGTGCTAAAAGTTCTGAAGAGAAAACAGACCCGAGAAAGTCATTTGCCCAAGGTGAGACAGTTCTTAAGGGGCTGCTGCAGAGTTAAAATCCAGGTCAAAAATCCTCCAGTCCAGAGCTGTTTCTGCCTCACCATGCTGCCTGCCCCAAGAGCTCATAGCATTGGGCTTGCTCACTGTCATCCAGGGAGATGTGAAGGCCAAAGGCTCTTCTACTGCTGGACTTAGTTCTTAGCTCTAGCGCTCTGTGTTTCCCCAGCTGACCTCTGCCTATTCACACCTCTCCCTTGTCTGCAGCATTTCTTACTACCCACCCCAGCCCCAGTTTTCAGATTCAGTTCTTTTCCCTGCTCTGACTTGGAGACAACCAAGTCTCTCATGATCCATAGAGTAACTGGGAGAAGACTAAGCAGAGACCCCAAACCCAACCAGCCTGACCAGCTCTTCCGGCTTTAGAAAGGATGGCCTTTAACATCGTGGAGTGGGGAGGAGGTCTCTTGAGAGGGAACTGCTCTGAGAACACATATTCCAGCCCAGTAGCAGCAAGAGCTTCTGGGGAGAGTGGCTCAAAGAGTGGGCTGGACAGGATAGCATGAGCTCCAACACTCTGGGCATGGTGGGGCAATGATCCAAGACATTCCTCTACCCCTACTCCCACTCAGCTACCTCTTCCCAAATCTACCTTGAAAGATTCTAGCAGTACCGTGTACACCTATAATCCCAGCACTTTGGAGACTGAGGGAGGAGGATTGCCACAAGTTCAAGGCCAGCCTGGCCTACCCGGTGAGTCTGAGGCCAGACTGAACTGCACAGTTAGACACACACACACACACACACGCACACACACACAACAAAAAAGACTTCAGCAGATAAAACACCCACAAAAGGCCCTTCAACCCCCATCAAGGACTTAGCTCAACCTTCTTACTCCCACCTCACTGTCTCAGGTGGGAAGGAAGACGAAATATCCATAAGCAAAGAGTGAAAAAGGAAGGGAGTAAAGTTGGGCTGGACCCCCTTGATTTCACACCACGGTTACTAGAAACATGGCCACCCAGTAGTTCTTTACTTCTAGGGGAGACAACAGGAGACAAGTTTCTATGCAAGAGCTGAATACCTCATTAAATATTGAAAATTTTAAGTATATTTATAAAATTAAACTATTTGCGATCCCTTCTAGTGTTCAATTCCATATAAGTCAATAAAGAGAATCAATGCAACGTTTCACATACATTTAGACCTACAAATACAAAAATTTAAGAATACTACAGATGACTACTGCCAAATGCCCCTCAGCCATCGTCATTGTTATAAATATGAGATGTGATCGAAAACTACAGTGAATTTTTTTGTCATTTTTAATTTTAATTAAATAGATAATTTCATATCACATAGAGAGTAAGTCCATCTACTCATTCTTGGATAAAATTGTAGAAATAATTTCTATAAAATGTTTATATTTGGGAATTAACCCACTATCACATGACTTCTACGGATACTTTTCATTCGTTTGGTTTTGTGAAATTAGAAAAGCACAAAAAATAAGATACCCATACACTGCAATCCAAAATCAGTGAGTGTCGTCATATATGCGCTTGCGGTTTTTAAGAGAAATGGATATCTGAGCCGAAGCCCCCCTGTACCTGCCACACTCCTTCCCTTCACTTGTCGACTCTTCAGAGGCCACCACCAAGAGTTTGGTCTTGAGGGCCGGGGATGTCGCTCAGTGGCACCGGGCCTGCCTCGCAAGAGCAAGGTCCTGAGTTCGATCCCCGGTACCAAAAAAATTAATAAATGAAACTAAGCAGATGTATGTGTATCCATTAGCAATATAAAGTACTGAACTTTATCAAGAAAGCTTTTATAATTCAAATTTACCAAAAGTCTTCGTACTGTATGCAACATTCTGCAACTTTTTTCCCTCTTGACAT